GCTTACAGAACGGTCTATAAAACACCAATTGGGATGTCACCATATCAATTGGTCTATGTGAAGACCTGTCATCTACCTATTGAGCTAGAATTCAAAGCTCACTGGGCTATCAAGCGATCGAACACGGACTTTGAAGCCGTAGGAACTAAGAGAAAGATGCAACTCTCAGAGCTTGATGAATGGCGTGAAAAAGCATATCATAATTCCAAGATTTACAAGGAGAGAACAAAAAGATGGCATGACAAGAGGATTAAGATGAAGGAGTTCACCCCTGAAGATAAGGTATTACTTTTTAATTCTAGGGTTAAATTATTCGGGCATGGAAAATTTCGGAGCAAATGGGAAGGACCATTCAAGGTGATAAGCACTTCGTTGAATGGAGCCGTAACACTTCAAAATGATGAAGGTACGTTATTTAAGGTAAATGGCCACCGTCTCAAGATCTTTCTAGAACCTGAAAAACCACCTGAGGATTTGGATGAGGTAGATTTTCTGATCTTACCATAGATTTACACCACTGCCATCCTCCGTAACGTTTCGTAACACGAAAATATACTTTTCAGGATTAGATAGGAGTGAGAAACCACCGCGAGAAAAATCACCCCACGACCCCAACATGTGGGGCTGACCGGCCCCACCTAGAGGCCGCTCGACCCACTATCAGCACCTCTCATGTCCCGTCAACTCTCTCGTGTCTTCTAGATCCTTCCTCTTTGCAATCTCATAGTTTTTCGGCGCATTCTATTTTTCCTCATTATGAGACCTCATTTGGATAGATCTTGACCCCTACGCTAGTTTCTCCCCCTATATAAATGAGCCTCTGCCTGCTCCAGAGCCATCCCATCAGAGCTTTCCCTCTCCAACTACAGCGAAGCTCCCCTCCTCTCCTAGTTCCCATGGCCGACAAGCAGATCATCCACTTCGGGACCAACCCAAGGAAGCCACCGCCTACAGATGAGTCTCTAGACATCATCCCAGTAGGAGAACCTCTGCCCCTAGCCATTGTTCCTCCCAAGCATGTAGCTCTGGTTCCTCCAAGAAGAAGCTATGAGCAGTCCTACTACGCCCAAGTTCGTCAACCGACACTCCCTCCATCGCATGAGCGCCTGCTCCTGAAGGACAAGCTACAACAGATGAAGGGCCCGACGATCCAAGTGCCAAAGGATATCAAGCTCCTTCCCTCGAGGACCAATGAGATGCTGATGAGTGTGAAGACTAACAAGTTCGGGGATGTCACATGTGCCAAGTATACTACGACCATACCCTGAGTAGCTTTTAATGGCGTTTGGGCTGCACCAGGGCAGATCAAGATCATTCCACCAAAGGAGACGCCAAAGAGATCTGCCCTAGCTCTGCTAGAGAGAGAAGAGAAGTGTCAAAGGATGACCGTGGTAGCCCTTGAGAAGAGAGTTGATCTCCTTACTTAGGCCGTCACAACCCGCCGATGGAATTAGAACATCTCCAACGGAAGAATTTGAAAAGCAAAATCTCTATCCTTTACCGCTATCTTGGGGATAAGAAGCAAAACTAAGTAATAGATCGATTAATAAGGCACAAGTGTTAGGTTAAGTGTGATCGTGTTTAATGTTTAGGTTTGTTGCATAGCTCAGATAGTTAAAAGTTTGTGTTAGCCAGATAAAAGTGTGTGCTTGTGTAATAAAGTGCCTTATATTAATGAAATCTTATATGCTCGCTACTTCTTTTGGATATGTGTTTGTCTCCACATGTTGTGCATAAAGGTATATAGGAAAACAAGTGTGGGGGAGACACACCACGACAACAAAGATGAGATACAATTGCGAAGATCATGAAATTCAGGAAGTAATGGACCAAGAACCGTGCTCGCCAAAGTTGGACCGAGATAGGTCTGAGATCAGGCCACTCAGCCTCCTACATGAACCACCCAGCCCATCACTGTGCCGCCTCGCCTCACGCTTTGTCCACGGTCAGGTTTGAAGCCCATACACTCTATTTTCATATGTTTTGCTTTCTGTTTCGAACCGAATTGAAAATCACTTGATAAAACAACTTAAAACATGAGGAAAGGTTATTTCAGTCATGACTTAAGGATAGACTCACATAATACTTTTCCTGGAAGTCATGCTACTGTTGGGAACATATTATTAGGGACCACATGTTACTTAAGTTGTTGTGGAATGAGATATAGTAGAATAAAGAGAACTTGATTCTTGATGTCTTGTTATTGGAGAATTTTATTTCAAAAAGTAAAATGAATAGCTACACCTCTCCTTTGTGGTAAGCAATATCCCAATAGAGCCATACATGATATATAGACTAGGAAAACCTTCTACACATACTACTTGCCATTGTATTGAGTTTGGTCAAGCCTTGTGACCCTTGTTGACTTATCATGCTCCCAAGATCAAGATCACGTACACTCCACATATATCAGCTGCTCCTACACTGGGGGTACGCAACACCATATTTTTCATCCACCCAAAAATGTTCTACTCCTATACTGGGAATTGACACAAAAATAAGTTTGATAGGATAAATGCTCCAAGTTCTTGTAAAAATCTTTCACGAAAAGTTTCAATTACAGAAAAGAGGCATGTGGCTATGCAAAAGTTATTCAAAGAAAAAGTATTGAAAAAAAGGACAAGTGTCCGAGATATTGAAAACAATGGGTACTCAGATGCCCGCCTGAAAAAAGAGAGAAAATGAGATGAATAAGATAGCCCATGTTTCCTTGAAAAGTGTTTTTTCAAAGTTTTAATCAAGAGAGATATGTTTTAAGGAGCATAGTAGAATTATGTTAGCCACTATATATATATCCACACACATGCACATCTTGATCTAAGAGTATGACATCTTTCTCTTTGGATCCTTGTTTTGACTTTACAATATATGCAATGCAAGTATGTTTTCATATTCATCCCTACCTGAGCTCCACATAAGCTTTTAGAAGTAGACAAAAAGAAGGCAAAATCATCAATGGCTTGGTGAGGATCCAAAAATACCACATATACAAAGTGATTTGAGAGTACTACAAAAGGAGAAGGTAAGCTATGTTTTGTTTTCAAAAATCTTAAAATGTTTCTCCAATTGACTTGACTGACAGAAGATGGTCATCTGTTTCAAGCTGTTCCATTCTTCAATCGCCCAAAGTTTCATGGTAGACACTTTGAATCCTATGGTACATGCATAACTAGGAATGGTTTTATGTTGATGTCTTGTCCTAAGGTTATGTCTTGAGTAATCCAACCTTTTATCGAGGACGAGTAAAAGCCTAAGTGTGGGGGAGTTGTTGACGGTAGTTATCACACATATTTTATCCGTCAATTAAACATGCATAAGGGTATAAATGAATCACTAAAGTAGACTTAGAGGTTTAAACTGACAAATTCCACGAGTTTTGGTGAATCTGTGTTTTCAGCAGGATTTAATCAGAAAACCGCCAAGGACGACCTAATCGTCAAAGGAAAAATACAGAATCCCGTCGTGGTACCTATGTGGGAAGACTCTAGAAGGATCCATAAGCCACATCACCAAAGCGGAGCCTAAGTGGCTGACATGTGGGGCTGCCTAGCCCCACAGTCAGGCCGCCCGGCCCCTAGTGGGCCCACCTATCAGCCAGCTTCCTATGTTGGTTTCCCACCGCCTTTGAGGATGCATCTAGGCAGTTGCTTAAATCGGTTTGATCCAAGGGCTCATGGTAGACCCTTAAGGCTATATAATCTAGCCCCTGCCTCTCCCCCTAGGCATAATGCTCATTTGATCCTAAGAGCTGAGAAGCTAGGAACCCTAATTTATATGTCCACCAGGATCGGAGCTAGCAATCAAGAGAAGATTAATCCTCTATAGGATCTAGTCTAATTCTAGAAATAGAGAGATAGAGTGTGAGGGAAGAGTTCTAGAGGAGTCCCGGCCTGTCGGTGCTCTCTCTACGGCTTGTACTTGGCATAATCAAGTCCTTCTTGAGCTTGCTTCTGAGATTTCTCTGGTAATCGACTTCTAATTCAAGTAAGCATCTTGTTCATATTGTTCTTCAGGTTTGCGACTCTCTTTTGAGTACTTTAATCCTTGTAGCTCCTGGGTTAAAGTAGTATTCGTAGTGTAAGCGTGGTGCTTAGACTCGGTTACTTATAGATGTACCCTATTTTCCAGATCAGTGGTAGCTCACGAGGGTGACTTTTATAGCCTCGTTGAATCCTCTGTAGTCCACCTTCCGTTAATAGGACTAGCAGGATAGTATTGCTATAGGAAACATACTCTGTCTGTGTTTTCTCTAGTGTTATCCCCAGAATTGAACAATAGAAGACAAAGCGGAAGGCCTTAGTAGTCTCCTCTATGCTCTTATTATCTAGCCTTGATTGTGAAGTTGGGATACGTTAGATTTGGTTATTCTCACACCCGTTCCTTTGGGTTCGATATAAAACTGGGTTACTCTCGGTGAAGTGCTACATCGGTATAATATCCTTGCGCTTGTGGATTATTCTGTGTGTATTAATTTATACCAACACGGTGTCAGGTCATACACTACTAGTTTAGAATATATTATAATTAACATCTTTAATACCAAATAAATGCACTATCAAGATATATTTTATAGTAGATTTTAATAGAACTAATTTGATGTTAAAGATGTTTGTTCATTTTTCTACAAACTTAGTCAAAGCTAGAAAAGTTTGACTTATGATGAAACTTAAACACATTACATTTTGTAATAGAGGGAACATGTTACGTGTAAACATGGTAATGGTGTATGTTTAGGTAGTAAAATACACTCTAGAATACACTGTATACATACACAGATCATCTATGTAGCACAATATCATGTGAGGGAACAAAATGTACCATGTTCCTCACTGAAAATAGATGGTTACTATAGATGTGTTCAATACACTCTAGAATACATTGTATATATATACACATAATCTATGTGGTACAATATCATGTGGGGGGACAAAATGCACCATAGTTCTTCACTAAAATAGATGGTTACTATAGATGTGTTCAACATCTAAGCAAACACTAAGTTAACGAGCCATACTAGATGATGCCGCAAATTCTTGCTCCAAGCTGTAGCACCCATACATCATTGGAACTATTAAATGTGTATCATTGACAAGCACATCAATGTGTTCATGTGTGTGTTGAGTTCCTGAGCGTAACAAAGGTTCTATTTCTCCATCCTTTTCAATTAAAAGATGTGTTTTCTTCCTTAGCCTCTTTGTTCTTAGAAATTGTAATTTCATATCTACTTCTTTCATACTTGGTCTATGCCCTCCTTTGGATCTTAAGCACGCTTCTATAACTGAGGCAATATCATTAATCTCTTCTTGGTCTGCCTCTTCCATAACTTGAGAATCTATTATTTCCATGAGAGCCCTTTCCTGCAGTCCTTCAACGAAGTAATGTGCTAAGATTTGTTTTGCGCCCGATTCATTGATAAAAATTGGCTTCTTTCTTGTCAAAAGTTCCACAAGTATCACTCCTAAACTATACACGTCACTCTTCTCAGTTAGTTGACCTGTATGATAATACTCTGGGTCTAAGTAACCAAATGTTCCTTGGACAATTGTCACCACATGTGTTTCATCAAGTGAAAGAGATCTTGAAGCACCAAAATTAAAAACCTTTATAGTGAAGTTGTCATCCAAGAGTATATTGGAAGACTTCACATCTCTATGGAAAATTGGTATTGCGGCAGCTGAGTGTAGATAAGCAAGTGCTCCTGCTACTTCTAGTGCAATCCTAATTCGATCATCCCATGATAGCAAGCATTTTACTGCAATATTTTCATGAAGAATACCATATAGACTGCCATTCGATATGAATTCATAGACTAGCAAGGGTACCTCATCTTCTAGGCAACAACCAAAAAGTTTCACCACATTGCGGTGAATGATTTGAGGCAAAATAGCAACCTCATTGATAAACTGATCTATCTCTGTTTGCTCCACTATTTTGGATTTTTTATGGCCACGCCACATTGGTCAGACAAAATCCCTTTATAAACTGTGCCATGCCCTCCATGACCTAGAACATGAGTAGCATCAAAGTTATTGGTTGCTTCCTCTAGTTCATCCAAAGTGAATATCTTTGTTTTGTTTGCAGCGCTTTCATCTGATATTAGTTGCTCCAAGAGCAGACCATGAGTTTTTTTGAAGTATGCTCTTCGGATTTTCCTTTGGATATCTTCTTTCCACCTACCGGTGAGTACAATCGCACCAAGTGCAAAACTTATGGATCCAAGGCCACAAGCAAGCCCAATTGCAATCCCTACATCCATTAAATGTGAATGTGAATATTTCGTGTTTTTAATTTTGATAGATAAATACATGACTCACCGAGAATTAGATTACGCTGCTTAGCTGACATGACACATTTGTGTTTTTTTGGATCATACTCTTTCCAATGACGGCAACTTGTACAATTGAAGCCTCCATCAAAGTTGTGGCATATTCCATTGCATTTGTTTGGAATAGCGCACTCATCAATATCTGTATCAGTAAGATGGTTATAAAGTTTGGTGATGCAAGTAAAGCACGCATGCATTTATTGTCATTTAAAGAAAAGTAATGGGATGTGTGATCATGTAGAACCGTTGGTGGTGCTTGTTAGACCCTTTATTTGTTGTGATTTGTCGAAAACAATAGTCATTGGATCTGTTCTATTTATAAATAAAATCACCCCCTTTATATGTCATTAACAAATAGTCAATAACCCTACAAATCTATATCTAAGTTATCCGCTTTTGCCCGAAAAATAATATAAAGTAAACCCTAAATTTTCATACAAGTTACCCACTTCTACCATTTTGTAAGATATCATAAATTAACCATCCACAAATTTGCATCTAATTACCTATATGTTTAATTACATAAAATAAACTAAATAATCCCTTAAATCCATGCATACATTATCTAAATATGTTTTGTGAAAAGAGATATTGTAACCCCTAATACTCTTCTAAAATATCCATTCCTACTGCTATAGGTATATATAAAAGACTACTCTAAATATCCATACATGTTATGTCCCACCATATAGACATGCACAAAGCTATATACAAGCAAACATTTCCACAGTTTAACAAGTACAAAAAATATTTCCTTATCAACACAGTGACACTAATAATGTACTTAAATTATATTAATAATTTACAAAATTAAATTATGTGAGTTGCTACATTAGACAATTCATACATCTCAACTAAAAAAATATGACATATATACATTTATAGTCCAATTGTAAGCATTTGTTATTTAAAAAGGTATACTACTCAACACATAATCCTTAGAAAAAATTCAACATCTTAAGCGTTGAGCAGTAGGCTGAACAATTGTATATGCTATTTGAGCAATAGGCTAAACAATTGTATATGCTATTGTTGAAGGCACGCTGAACAATTATATGTATTATTGGAGAAACCTAGAGCATGTCTAGCGGGTCCACTAAACCCAACCCTACCCTAAATGTGAGGGTTGGAAACAAAAAAAGGTCTAGCGGTCCAACTACTCAAGCCCTCAAATCTGAGAGGCCCCAAATCCCTCCACTCACCCCTTCTCCCTAGGGTCAAGTAGGTTCCCTTACATTTTGTTTTCTGTTTTTTCACCCACCACCGTCTACCTGCCCAATTCCCTCTACTCTCTCTACCCAGCCAGGCTACCACCATGTGCCTTCTTCCTGACCATTGTCGCCTCGAGGTTGCAATCAAATCTAGCAACCTCAGTCCCTTCTTGACCCTTCCTCCCACCTACTGAGACCTCTCTCTTGCATGTCGGTGCCAGGAGCAAATGGCGCATACTCGATGGTCTCTCCCTCGCTGACATACCCTCTCTAGAAAAATCTGATCGTTCTCCTTATTTTATCGTTTTCTATTCATCTCCGGTGATTACCTCCTCTCCCTTCTTGGTCACTCCTCCTCCCTGCTAAGCTCGCAACCGGTGTGGCACCTCCACTGATCAAAAAGCAGAGAGGAGGAAAATGTGAAAATAAAAATGGAAACAAGAAATGATGAGCCACTGGCAAGCAGCTTCCACACATCACAAATAAAATGAGCATTGAGATTTAGGATATTATTGGATTTACAATACAACCAGGCCACCAGAAATCAAGGAAGTCCTCTCTCAGGCAAATAGAGGGCCCAGGCTAGAGTTATTGATAGAGATACTTAGAAAGTTCAATTTAGAACCTTCAATCCATAATTGAACCAAATATGAAAGGAACATTTTGAATAAAATGGCACAACAATAAGCACTAGAGATTTTGATGAAGGTATGTACTCTGGGTGTCCATACCAACACAATTAGTGTCTAAGCGATTGTCCCCGATGCCTCTGGGTAATTCATTTGGCCAAATGAATTAAGGACTGTGCATTAGAAGCTAAGGGATCTAGGGCTCCTCAGACATCAGCCTGACTAAGGGTCCGAGTGGAACAATATGCGATACTCGAACAAGCTAGGAGCACAAAGGACAAAACCAAAGGATAGAGTTGATGACATCCTTAAAGGGATACAACACCCCTCTCTGCTTGACCTAGTACGATGTACATTGGGCACAATATCAAACGGTGCAGAGTGTGCAACACACTTGTACAAACCTTGTCGCCACCCACCTAACCTCTATGGGGAAAATACTATGCCTATTTGTTGAATCCAACAAAACAACCATGGACATCTTCCATACGAGCTGACAAAGGAAAATAGCCCCCAATTGTTCTGCTTGTCAAGAAGAACATCACCTAAAACACAAATCAGACGAGTGACACATGGGGCCGCTAGTCCAATAAGACCGCACCAAGCATGGGGAGATCACTGCCAACTCACTGTACATGTAAACCACATCCCCTTGACTATATAAAGGGTGTTGGGGAGCCCAACCAGAGGCAATGAGGAGCAATCCACATAGGTTACACACAACCTCTTGTAACACATCCCTACCTACTACAAAAATTATTTTGGGAGACTGGCCTCTTGATTATTTCACCCACTTGCCCTCCATGAACTGCATGCGTATACTATGTACGTCGGCCATGAATCACAGCATACTACGTACTACGCCGGCCGCCTGACTGCCTAAGGATGACATATATCACACACATATACCGCGCTCTGTGCACGTCAGCGCCGGCGTCGGCGACTACTCTAACAATTATTCGAGCATTTCCGTGCATTTGCTCTTGCATGCTTACCCTACATCACTCCATCATTTCACTTGGTCACTACTCTGACAGGGTCACCTGCTTTTGCCGAGCCACAGTACGGTGCTCCAGTTTGAAATCTGAACGACATGGATTCCTTCGATCTGGCCGTGCTCGCCGGCAAGCACAAGCTCAGGCCGTTCGCTCCTGGTAAGCACCTGCTTCGTGCCCTCGTCGTCACTACATACCACTGCAATGCTAGGCTTCAGCTTCGCAGATGGAAAGAACTCACACACTGCCACCAACAGCCATAATCTCTCTCTCTGAAAAATCTGGCATGATTACCGGCTTATATTAATAAGATAGGAGAAGAGTTACATGCGCAAGACCCACCTACAACTACAAGTACCAGAACCAGCAGACTGCTGGGTCTGCATCCATGATGACTAAAGTGGATTACTCATTTGTGTACATTGCAACTAGAAAAACAAAAACTTCCGCTTCTGCGGATTTCTCCATGTAAGCCTCATATCGTTGATTTGAGAAAAAAAGATCAACCTAAGACTTTCCGTTTCTCTTGAAGATTCTGTCGTTTCTTTGCTTCCAAATGGACCAGGCCATTAAGGTCACCAAGTGCACCTGTTCATAACTGTAACAAAAGTTCAGCGAGGATAGTTTGCTGATAAACAAATTTCCTCTTCCATGGTGTATTGCCTGCTAGCTTCATTACAATCTCGACCAGTTACCCTGTAATGACGTGTAGCTTCATCCCCGCCGCTCCTCATTGGTGTTCCATTATATTGACCCTGCCTCTTCTTCATTAGCAAGCTTTCAAGGGTCATCTCCACTTCCCTCATTGTAGGCCTATCTTCCCCTTTTAATTTTGTGCACATTGCTGCTAGTGTGGCTACTTCTTGGATTTCTCCACCTTCCTCCATAACTTGAGGATCAATTATGTCAACTAGTTTGCCTTCTGCAAGCAGTGAGACAAAATGTGAAACAAGATCATCATCATCAACTGACCTGTAGATATATGGCTTTTTTCGAGTAAGCAATTCTACAAGAACACCAAAACTGAAAACATCACTCTTGTCTGTTAACCGGCCCGTGTAATAATACATTGGATCCAAATAACCCATTGTTCCTTGAACTGCCGTAGTCACTCCTGTCTGATCAGTCGGGATATATCTAGAAGCTCCAAAATCTGAAACCTTTGCTGTTAAAGCATCATCAAGAAGTATGTTTGCAGACTTAATATCTCTATGAAATATAGGCATTGAAACAGCTGAATGAAGATAGGATAGAGCTTTGGCAACTTCAGTTGCTATCCTCATTCGATCATCCCATGGTAGTGATATGGGGCCATCGATGTGAAGGTGATGACAGAGGGTTCCATTTGAAATGAACTCATAAACTAGCAACGGAACTTCTGTCTCAAGGCAACATCCTAAGAGCTTCACCACATTTCTATGGTTTACTTGAGAAAGAACTGCAACTTCATTGATGAATTCTTTGATTTCTCTTTGTACTACTATCTTTGATTTTTTGACTGCCACAACTTGTAGATCTAGAATTCCCTTAACACACGACACCATGCCCTCCACCACCAACGATGCGAGCTCTGTCAAAATTATTTGTTGCCTTCTCTATACCGCTTAGAGTAATTATCATCCTTTCACTAATATCAGTATTGTGTGATATTAACTGTTGTAAAAGTAGCCCATGATTTTGCTTGAATAAGCTTTGTTTCATCTTCTTCACCTTTTGAAGCTTCATTTTACGCATTATGTAGGGCCCACCAAGGGCTAGAAGCAAAAGACCTGTCCCACCACCGACTCCAAGCCCAATGCTTAAACCTAAGGAAAACAAGATATAACGTAACACGTTCATAATTTTAGAGTAAAATAATGTATCAAGCTACAAATTTGTTTTGTGGGTGAGGTGAGAAAGGATTAGTTTGTGGGATAATATGATGCACATAGTGACTTGTAACCTGTGAAGGAATTCTTGATTGTAATGCATCCCCCTTTTTTTGAATAATTTCCAGAGCTTCCTTCAGGACATCGGCAGTGAAAACTTCCCGGGAAATTTTGGCATAACCCATAGCACGAGTATGCTTCCTTGTGCTTGCACTCATCAATGTCTAGGAAGTTTAGAACAGTGAAATATGTTTTAAGTTCATGTCATAGTGTCCAGCACACAGCGTGTGAGCCTTGTAACTCTAGAACAAATAGTCGTAAATGTATATATTCATGATTTCCATCTTATTATACCTGTGCATGCATTTGGGATGGAAGCATTGCCTGTATAGTGGCTACAATTATACTATTTAACTACATATATAAGTTGGGAACACTT